AGGCGAGATGCGGTGCAGAAAAAACGAGCGCTCCACGAAGTGAGACAATTGCTAAAGGACACGAAAGCTCAGCCCAACCGCAGTGTGAATCCACACACCTACCCAGGTCAGCGAGAGATCAGCCACCCACCGAGCACCCATTTGCATGTCACAGGTCCTACAGTCCCTTTTTCTCTGTCCCCAGACTGTCACATAAATGCAAAACAACTTTGTTTCCCCAGATGGGGTTTCTTTGTGTTTTTACTGGAAGCTCTCCTGCCTCACCACCACCTGAAAAGCAGTCCCTGAATTTCACACCTCACAGAAGGCAAGAGTTTAGCTGCGGAGAAACACGCTCCAGGCCAAAGGCAGCGCAGGAGGCTGGTGCAGACGCAGCTCCAGCGGACAACGGGAAACCAGTAAGCAGCAGCAGAAGCACAAACACCTGACGGGATACACAGAGCGGTCTTTTTCCTTACCAGAGTACGGGTTACTGCTCAGGCTGCCGTCTCTTCCAGTCAGTGGGGTGGTGGGCGTAGGGAAAATCCTGAGGGATAAAAAAGGAAAGGAGGTGTTTTATGAGCTCTGTCCAAAGCTGCAAAACAGTAGCTTTTGGAAAAGAGGAATTCCTGGTCCGCAGGCGCTAGGTATGTCGGAGCATTGCAGTTCGATCAGCCACGAGGCTGAGCGCAGCCCACAGCAACCCCAGGTCTTTGTAGCATGCACCGTCCCCCTCGGCTGGCCACGAGAAGAACCAGCTAAGGTCTACTGGTATGCAGTCCTTCGCCGCTCAACCTTCCCCTCCACAGCGCCAGGGACACATGGCATATCGCTAAATAACCCCATTCTCAAAGGGATTTAGTCACTGCCTCTTCCAGGGATCAGAGGCCAGGATCTGCATCAGCTCATCACGCCGTCGGGCGGAACAGCTCTGCCTGCTGTCGCGCTCTCATTCCCCAGCATCGATGCTGCTGCGCTCGTAACCCCCCCCAGCCGATTAACTCCTCACTACTGCCACGGAGAAGTGCATCCCCTGAGCACCACTCACTGAGCACCCCGCTTTGCCAGCTCCTCAGGTCACCCAGCAGCCGGGCCCGTCTGTGTGCCCGAAGCACGCAGCACCAGCGAGCTGCCAGGCCGGTGGCAGCGGCACGTCCCTGTCAGTCTCCCTGTCAGTCTCCAACGAAGAGCAGGGGAATCTCGTCTGGAGCATTTGCAAGTCATCATATCCATACACCTGTGGCTAGAAAAGGAGCAGGAGGCAATGTTAGGGATAAGCTAAAAGATGTAGATTGAACGTGCAGGTAACAGTGAGACAAAGCCAGCAGCAGACAGAGTTACTTAGGCACAGGCAGTCAGCATTCACTCCCACAGCCAAGAGTGTTTTAATGAGCTGCTCCAACGAAGAGCGAGCACCAACCCTAGCACCCCTGCTTCAGGCCACAAAGGCACTCGACAATTTTCCTCCAGAATCTATTCCAACCCCAAAATCTGTCCTGGCCTTCAGAAGAGGGCGGTGACACAGCACCAGACTCTGTGGCAGTCACCCCCCTCGTTCTGTTTGGCCTCTGTCGTATCACATTGCTCCCACAGTGCACGAGCCGTGCTCTGAGCAAGGCTGGGGAGGCTGTAGAGAACAGAACTCTGGAGTGACCAGAATTACAGACATCTACCCCCACGGGCGCATGAATTTCCTGTTTCATGGGAACAGCAGGTCCAAACTCTTCCCATCCAACGCATCCGTGGGCTGACGTTACAGTCTCTGGTTTCTCTACAGCACTACATCCCCCCCAGCTCGCCGAGGACATGGGTAGGAGGGATCTGGTGGCACGACACGACTGCAAAGGGTTGATCGTCCCACTCACCGGATAGGCGTGTAGCAACCCTGGAGCCATGATGTACGGATTAGGCAACAACGGTGGGACTCCAGGAGGAAGGTTGGGAGGGGCTTTTCCTGAAAAAGGAAGGGAAAGGAGAAGTTCCATGCTGAAGCAAAGAGCTGTCCCTCTCAGCCCCCACGCCCTCCCGTTTAGCAGTCCCCAGAATAGTACCTGATGTTGTTGCAACAGAGCTGCGCGTGGAGGCCGTCACCGTGGAGTTACTGCTGAGGCTGAGGCCCAGGCTGCTGACGCTGCTGAGACTGGAGGAAACGCTTACGACTGGCGGGGCGGCC